AAAACAACACAGAGAAACCCTGTTTTGAAAAAAAAAAAAGAAAAGAAAAGAAAAGAAAAAAAAAGATTTTGCCAGGCACTGGTGGTGCACACGTTTAATCCCAGCACTCGCGAGGCAGGGACAGGTGAATATTTGTGAGTTCGAGTCCAGCCTGGTCTACAAAGTGAGATCCAGAAAAGGCTCCAAAGCTACTCAGAGAAACCCTGTCTTGAAAAAACAAAAACAAAACAAAACAAAAAGATAATCCCACACCAACAACACCAAAGAAGGGAAACACACAACACTACCACTCAAAAATAACAAAAATTACAATCACTTGTCATTAATATCCATTAATATCAATGGTCTCAATTTGCCCATAAAAAGACACAGAAAGGACATGAAAACAGGATCCATCCTTCTCTTCAACTTCAAAGACAGATACTACCTCAGAGTAAAAGGCTGGGAAAAGACTTTCTAATCAAAAGGACTTAAGAAGCAACCTGGTGCAGCTATCCTAATATCTAATAGAATAGACTTTAAACTACAATCAATCAAAATACATCAGGAAGGACATTACATATTTATCACAGGGAAAATACACCAAGATGAAGTCTCAATTCTGAACATTTATGCACCAAATACAAGGGCACCCACATTTGCAAAAGAAATATTACTAAAACTTACAACACACATCAAATCCCACACACTAGTAGTGGGAGACTTTAAGACAAAAACTTAACAGAGAAATAAGGGAACTAACAGAAATATGACTCAAAAGGACTTTCTACAAAACATTCCACCTAACACAAAAGAATATACCTTCTTCTCAGCACCCGATGGAAACTTCTCTAAAATCGACCACAAGCGCAGTCACAAAGCAAATCTCAACAGATACAAAAAAAAATTGGAATAACCTCCTGTATTTTATTGGACCACCATGGCTTAAAGTTAGATTTCAACAACAAAAGTTACAGAAAGCCTAGAATCACATGGAAACTGAATAATGCCCAACTGAATCATCAATGGGTCAAGGAAGAAATAAAGAAAGAAACTATAGATTTCCTAGAATTCAATGAAAATGAATGTACAACATACTCAAACTTATGGGATACTATGAAAGGAAAAATCCATAGCTCTAAATGCCCACATAAATAAGATGGAGAAATCTCATACTAAGGAATTAACAGCACACCTAGAACAAAAACAAGCACACTCACCCAGGATGAATTGACTCCAGGAAATAATCAAATTGAGGGCTAAAATCAATAAAATAAAAACAAAAAGAACAATAGAAAGAATCACTGAAACAAAAAGTTGGTTCTTTGAGAAAAATCAACAAGATAGACAAGCCCTTATCCAAATTATCCAAAAGGCAAAGAGAAAGCATCCGAATTAACAAAATCAGAAAGGAAAAGAGAGACATAAAAACAGACAACAAGGAAATCCAGAGAATCATCAGGTCACACTTCAAAAACCTGTACTCCACAAAATTAGAAAATCTAAAAGAAATGGACAACTTTCAGGATAGGTACCACATACCAAAGTTAAATCAAGACCAGATAAACTATTTACATAGACCAATATTCCCTAAGGAAATAGAAACAGTCATTAAAAGTCTCCCAACCAAAAAAAGTTCAGGATGAGAGGCTTCAGCACAGAATTCTACCAGATTTTCAAAGAAGAGCTCATACCAATACTCTTCAAATTGTTCCACACAATAGAAATAGAAGAAACATTACCAAACTCTTTTTATAAAGCTACAATTACCCTGATACCCAAACCACACAAAAATGCAACAAAGAAAGAGAATTACAGACCAATCTCCCTCATGAACATTGACGCAAAAGCACTCAATAAAATATTGGTAAACTGAATCCAAGAACACATCAAAAAAATTATCCACCATGACCAAGTAGGCTTCATCCCAGGGATGCAAGGAAGGTTCAACATACAAAAATCTGTCAATGTAATCCACCATATAAACAAACTGAAAGAAAAAAAACACATGATCATCTCATTAGATGCTGAAAAAGCCTTTGACAAAATCCAACACCCCTTCATGATAAAGGTCCTAGAAAGATCAGGAATACAAGCAACATATCTAAACATAATAAAGGCAATTTACAGCAAGCCAACAGCCAACATCAAATAAAATGGAGAGAAACTCAAAGCAATTCCACTAAAATCAGGAACAAGACAAGGCTGTCCACTCTCCCCATATTTATTCAATATACTACTTGAAGTTCTAGCCAGAGCAATAAACAACAAAAGGGGATCAAAGGCATAGAAATTGGAAAGGAAGAAGTCAGACTTTCACTACGTGCAGATGATATGATACTGTACATAAATGACCCCAAAAATTCTACCAGGGAACTCCGACAGCTGATAAACTTCTTCAGTAATGTGGCAGGATACAAGATTAACTCAAAAAAATCAGTGGCCCTCCTATATACAAATGATAAAAGGGCTGAGAAAGAAATCAGAGAAACATCGCCCTTTATAACAGCCACAAATGATATAAAATAACTTGGGTTAACTCTAACTAAGCAAGTGAAAGACCTGTATGACAAGAACTTTAAGTCTCTAAAGAAAGAAACTGAAGAAGATATCAGAAAATGGAAAGATCTCCCATGCTTATGGATAGGTAGGATTAACAGTAAAAATTGTCAATCTTATCAAAACCAATCTACAGATTCAATGCAATCCCCATCAAAATCCCAACACAATGCTTCACAGACCTGGAAAGAACAATACTCAACTTCATATGGAAAAACAAAAAACCCAGGATAGCTAAAATAATCCTGTACAATAAAGCAACCTCTGAAAGCATCACCATCCCTACCCTCAAGCTCTACTATAGAGCTATAGTAATAAAAAACAGCTTGGCACTGGCATAAAAACCGACATGTAGACCAACAGAATAGAAATGAAGACCCTGACATTAATCCACACACCTATGAACACCTGATTTTTGACAAAGAAGCCAAAATTGTACAAGGAAAAAAGAAATCATCTTCAACAAATGGTGCTGGCATAACTGGATGTCAATATGTAAAAGATTGCAAATAGATCCATATCTGTCATGCACAAAACTCAAGTTCAAGTGGATCAAAGACCTCAACATAAATCCAGGTACACTGAACTTGATGGAAGAGAAAGTAGGAAGTAGTCTTGAATGCATTGGCACAAGAGACCATTTCCTAAATATAACACCAGTAGCACAGACACTGAGAACAACAATTAATAAATGGACCTCTGAAACTGAGAAGCTTTTGTAGGGCAAGGACATGGTCAATAAGACAAAATGACAGCCTACAGAATGGGAAAAGATCTTCACCAACCCCACATCTGACAGAGGGCTGATGAAAAATATATAAAGAATTCAAGAAACTAGACATCAAAATACTGAACAATCCAATTTAAAAATGGGCTATAGAGCTAAACAGAGAATATTCAACAGAAGAATCTCAATTGGCCAAAAGACATTAAAGGAATTGCTCAGCATCTTTAGTCATCAGGGGAACGCAAATTAAAATGACATCTGAGATATCTGTCAGAATGGCTAAGATCAAAAACACTGATGACAGCTTATGTTGGGAAAGATGCAGAACAATGGAAACACTCCTCCACTGTTGGTGGGAGTACAAACTTGTACAACCACTTTGGAAATCAGTATGGCAGTTTCTCAGAAAATTGGGAATCAATCTACCTCAAGATCCAGCTATACCACTCTTGGGCATATACCCAAGGAATGCTCAATCATACCACAAGGACACATGCTCAACTATGTTCATAGCAGCATTATTTGTAATAGCCAGAACCTGGAAACAATCGAGATGTCCCTCAACTGAAGAATGGATTAAGAAAATGTGGTACATATACACAATGGAGTACTACTCAACAGTTAAAAAACAACGGTATCATGAAATTTTCAGGCAAATGAATGGAACCAGAAAATATTACCCTGAGTGAGGTAACCCAGACTCAGAAAGACAAACATGGTATTTACTCACTCATAAGTGGATACTAAATGTAAAGCAAAGGATAACCAGACTACAACCCAAGCTCCAGAGAAGCTAGCTAACAAGGAGGACCCTAAGAGGGACGCATAGATCACTCAGTGAAGGAGAAATAGATGAGATCTACATGAGCAAACTGGGGGGAAAAGGGGGTAATGGACGGCAAGGGATGGGGAGGTTTGAGCTGGAACATGGACAGAGTGAGAGAGTAAGGAAGAGATACCATGATAAGTAACGACATCATAGTAATAGGGAGAAACAGGGTGCTAGGGAAGTTCCCAGGAATCCATAAGGATGACCCTACCATAGACTACTAGCAATAGTCGAGAAGGTGCCTGAACTGGCCTACTCCAGTACCAGATTAGTGAATACACTGTCATCAAAGAGCCTTCATCCAGTAACCAATGGAAACAGATACAGAGATTCATGGCCTGGCGCCATGCCAAGCTCCAGGAGTGCAATCAATAAGAGAGAGGAGGGACTCAATGGCAAGGGACATAGAGATCATGATGGGAAAACATACAGAGTTGGCCAACCAAACTAGTAGAACCTCATGAACTGTGGACCAATAGCTGTGGAGTGCCCATGGTACTGGACTAGGCCCTCCAGATAGGCGAGACAGTTGTTTAGCTTGAACTGGATGGGGGCCCCCAGGCAGTGGGATCAGGATGGGTCCCTGGTGCATGAGCGGGCTTTTGGACCCCAGTGCCTATGGTGGGACACCTTGTGCAGCCTTGGTTCAGGGGGAAGGAGCTTGGACCTGCCTCAACTGATGTACCAGGCTCTGCTGACTTCCCATGGGAGACCTTACCTTGGAGGTGGGAATGGGGAATGGGTTGTGGGGGAAGACTGGGGGGCGGGAGGAGGGAGGAGAGGGGGATCTATGGTTGGTATGTAAAATGAATAGAAAATTTCTTAATAATAGTAATAAAAGAACTGATGGCATGTTTGAGGCCGTCTCATTACCAATGGGGAGAGCCTACTAGAAAGATTTCTTACCAAGGGCTGCTGCACAGCAGAGTCAATGGGTCAAATCCAGCAAGCAGGAGATGTGGCAGCCACTCTTTATATTTTGTTTGTGCTTTAACTGCATAACTTATAAATTCAGATGTATGATTCCAAGGAGCCAACAGGCAAACTTTCTTTAAAAAGCAGCAAAACATTGAAAACTTCTCATACTTGAGGCAGTATGCCAAGTGAAGTTCATTTAACTGGGCTCCATACTTCAAAAGAATGTTCACAATTCCAACGAAGTCACAGCTTCACAAAAAAGTAAAACAAAATACAAAGAACTTTAAAAGTTAGACTTATACACAACAAATACTTCTTAACAAATTTTTAATAGTAGTTAAAAATGAGAACAAGAATGCAATGAGTTGAAATGAGGTAATGAAGAAAACTTTACATCTCAATCCCTCTGCACAGTTATGCTTACAACTATAAGATTTTTAAAAGTACCTTGACAAAGACACCTTTTTTTTTTAGCTATAATGTTTTGTAGAATTAAGCATTTCTCCTAAAATTTTTTTAAAGTTAATGAACAACATGATAAGTCCCTGAAGATTAATTCATTCTAGAAAGCTCCATGTTATGTAGCCTTAGCCAATTTCCACTCTTTTATATTTGGCCAGCATGTATTATAACTATCACACAGGAAAGCTTTTCTAATGAACATACTTAACTTACATTTTAAAGTTAATCTTCCTTATCAGGCACTTTTATGAAATAAGCATGTATCATTTTTATCTATTAAATTGGCTGTTTAAAAAAAGATCATCCAATACTGACAGATGAACTGAAACTGAAAGCAGATGTGATCCTTGATCCTTATTTAAGAGAGTCACTTGGCAAGACCATCAAAACAGGTAGGGCTACAAAAAGAGCACAGACCCTGAAGTCACCTAAAGTGAGTTACTCTACTTTTCTGGCACTACATAAGTATTTATGAAAATAAATAAATGAAATACTACATATATAATAAATATACTTATTTAGGCAAATATGTCTATATACATTTAAATATACTTATGTAAATAAATATAAAGTGTATATAAGTATGAAAATTTTCAGACTTGGAAATTTGTCCAAAAGACAAAATTGAAGATAAATTGTAACCCATTTGTAGAAATATGTTATTAACAGTATTATCTGTAGCAGACTTTAGAAAAACACCACCTAAACATTCAACAACAAAGAATCAGGTAAATAAGCATAACATATTACAGCCATCAAAAACTGCAATTTTGAGTTACATGTTCATATTTTCAAAACTCTTCATAATGTTAAGTTTCACAAAGAATAATAAACATATATGTTCACTGTGCAGACAACTGATAAAGAAGTTATACAGGAATAAAATTATTTTCCCTTTAAACTTGGCATTATATCATTTAAAAGAACTATAAATGTTAAAATATTTTCAATAATTATAATACAGAATCTAGAAAAGAATAAGACTTTTATATTAAATAAATGTAAAATGTCTAAACTATAGTCATGTGAGAACAACTACTTAAGGCACATAAAACTTGACAAGTGCAGTATAGCACATACCTTTAATCCTAACACTTGAGAGGCAGAGGCAGGTGGATCTAGAGCCAGCCTGGTCTACTTAGGTCAGCCAGAGCTACATATTGAGACCCTGTTTCAGAAAGAAAAAAAAAAAAGATTCTCTAATGAGGAAAACAAAATACTGTATACAAGCCTGGAAAAAATCAAAGTATAGGATGAAGCTATTTTTAAGCAAATTATAAACTCAATGTTCATCAATCTCTAAATACTTTTCAGAAGTACCTTTCAAATTAAAGCAATAGGCCCAAACATTAATCTGAGGAAAATGTAATAAAGAAGAGTATAAAATTCCTTAAAAGTCTATAAATACAGGTGCAATGATGTATTAATTGTAGATATAAACTTATCCTAAGTGTCCAGATTCGTCAAACATTTGTAGTAGATCCATTCATCCCCTACAATACCACAAGAAAAATTCTCAGAACATTGTTTAACCTTGCATTCCAAGTTTAATTATAGAATTACTTTCATCCAATGTATTTTCTCTTAATTAGTATCCTAGAAAACATGCTCAATAAGCTAACCCTAAACTTCTTCCAATTAGTATACTCACATAGCCTGTGTTAAAAGAGCACACTCTCGGGGCTGGAGAGATGGCTCAGAGGTTAAGAGCACTGGCTGTTCTTCCAGAGGTCCTGAGTTCAATTCCCAGCAACCACATGGTGGCTCATAACCATCCGTAATGAGATCTGGTGCCCTCTTCTGGCCTGCAAGCCTACATGTAGGCAGAATACTGTATACATAATAAACAAATAAATCAAAAAAAAAAAAAAAAAAGAGCACACTCTCAAAAGGTCAGTGCTACAGTATAGGCACTCCCTTTTCCAACAAAATTATCATTCCCAAGGAAAACAGCAAGTGTGAAATATGCTGAAGAATCATAAAACGTTGTCAGCACACTCTGAGCATCTGCCAGTTACTGTAAAAGATCTCAAACACAAAGGCATGCTCCATATGACCTTGATTATTCCATGTCATTAAACACAGTAAATTATCAGTGTTAGGTAATCTTTGGTTAAAATATAAATAATATGGATATATCTATATATGTCTCTTAAAATACTACTTCTCTCTATCCCAAGCCATGATGACAAATTGGGTAAGCTCTTCAGATCCTAGAGGGAGAAAAAGTCTATCCTGCAGACACAAACACCAAGAATTAACTATGACATAAAGAGACAGCTCATTGCCTAAATAGTGAACAATCTGAGGAAGTGAATTATCTGAGTAAGAAGAGAAATTTAAAAACTAAAACCCAGCAAAAACTTTATTTGATGGCCATTTTTCACCACTATGGTGTCTGATGTTTAGAAATAGACGGAAATATGGTACTTAAAAGAAGTACAGTAATAGAAAATTCTACATGAAACATGGTTTACTTTAATCAAATAGAAATGGACAAACATTTGGGGCATTTTATGTTCAATTAGTGAACAAAATGTTTAAGCATCGTATTAGCTAATTATCAAAATGCCATGGGGTTTTTAGCCATTGGCTAAAAATAAAATGAGAGCACTCAGCTTTGTCTTATGTACCCACTTAAGAAAACTAAAATTGACACAATGACTCCTATGAACCTAATGCAGTAAGAGTAACCAGTATCAGTGAGATACACAGACAAAATAAGCTCTGCTAAACTACATTTTCCTTCTATGATCAGAAATAAGAGTATGAATTTATTCTTGCAATCTCTCAATTCCCATACTCCTTCCCCATTCAAAGTCATTCTTTCTTTATATTTGCTTATTTAAGCTGAGTTACTCTGCTGTGTCCTTGAGACACTAGCTTCATATCACTGTAGCTGATAATATCTGAACCTCAAGGAGGAAACTTCCTTTTGCTGTAGGATCTATTCAGTGGCAGAGGAAACACTTCTCATCATAGCATGAAATGGAGAGAATGCCCACTGGTTCAAAAAGAAATGCATCATCACATATATCTACCAAAAATGTTTCAGAACATTAATCCTGAGCTAAACAGTGAACAATTTTAAAAAAAAAACATAGAGTTACTATTTGTATGTATTACTTTTGTCATCCTCTGATTCTACTTACAAGAGCAGGTAAGGGTTAGCAAACACAGGTCAATAATATAAGGTCACAAGTACTAAATAGATACATTTCAGAGAAATACTAGAAAACAGGCAAATGAAAAAAGACTTTTCCTCATTAATAAGTATTAATTAAATCTTTATGTAATTTTATCCTAAATTAACATTAATGTAACTATACACTGCTACTGTAAAACAAAATTTCAAAACTTGTATAAGTAAACTTATTTCACTGCAATATCAAGTTAATCTCAGAAAATACAATATTCCAAGTACCTGCTATCAATGATATGGCCCAAATTTAAGTTCTTATTAATTATCTGAACATTGGATGTAAGAAATCCATTGTTTCATTTTTAATAAGGACAAGTAATACCATGGTTATTTTGGAGTTAAACTACATTCAATTATGCTTACTTTTTATGAGTGGTGATTCTGATAAACTTGATAAATGCTTTAGGCATATGATTGCCCAAGTTAAAGTAGTTAAAAAAATTTTTTTTTAAATTTTCAGCAGTATCTTTCGCAACCCAGCAGACACTACCAATAGTATTATCTCCATATGCTCAAAGAAAACCTATTGGGAAAATTAAGAGTTTCTTGGTTGATTAACAAAGCTCCACACAAACTCCCAAAATAATCAAGTGATTTTCATTTCACATGTACAGGGGCACACTAATGTGTTAATTAATTGCCAGGCATTAGCTAATTTAATGTAGTGTATGAACTAGAAATATAATTTTTCTAGATAAATAGAGGACAGAAGGAAGAACAGAACTAACTCAGACATTTCTCTATGTACCAAAAGCTGTGTAATCGACATGCCCTGACAACTCCTTTATCTACATATGGTAAAAGTAGACATATGTGATTATCATGCTATTATCCTTTAGATTTAATCCTTTGAGAAAGGTTGCCCTTTAATTCAATTCCCTACAATGTAGACCAGGCAAAGATGTACCAAAATTTAAAATACTGCCATAGCTTCCAGATAAACAAAAAGTCAATTAGAAAGGCCAGAATATACCACTGCAGTACTGATGATGCTGATGTCTGGGCATTTTCTACAGGCTAACAAATAATATTTTCCAATGACTTTTCTTACCTAAAACTTACTTGTTTTAAAAACACACTTATTCACTTAACAAGTTCTGATTGAAGAAAACAATTCATAGGCCTTTCCAAGATCCATCAAGTCAGATTTCAATTTTTAATTTCTTGCTTTACAAAGTACTTCAGAGAACGTTGTGACCACAGAAATATACTTTTCTTTTATTTCTGCTTCACAGTGATTTGTTTTAAGCACCTTTTCTCTGTTTTGTCCTGAGTTGCTGAGCTGCTTATATGTATAATTTTAAGTCTTTAGAGTTGAGACATTTAGAGCCATAACAACTTATTTTTTTTTTCTAGACTGATAAGTTTTTCCTCTGTTGATATTTTTCCTCAGGCTTCTGTGGCTCTGCTCACTACTAACTCCCCCCGCCTTTTTCCTTTATAAATATTTTCAGCTTTTTTTTTTTTTTTTGCATTTTCAAGGTAAAGTTTATTTGGTTTTTTTTTTCATTTTTTATTAAGAAATTTTTTATTCATTTTACATCCCAACCACAGATCCCCCTCTCTTCCCACCAAACCCACTGCA